TTGGATCGGTGCAGCGCGCCGTCCGCAACACACCAGCCATAGCGGACACTTGGGGGGTGAACCAACGGCAAAAGGAAGATCTTTCTCTCTGTCTCTCTCTGTCTAACTCTGTCAAAAAAAATGTAGAATTAGCATATGATCCTGAAATTCCACCCTTCAGTATAAGAGTGCTGAGCCATGTTTGGAATTAGTGTAGTCCTAACGGTTAAGAACCTCATATCCCAAATTGGCATTCTTGGGTTCAGTATCTGCTTCCAATGGCTGAGTACAACTTTCTGGCAATGAAGACACCGGGAGGCAGTGTGATGTCTGAAATAATTGGGTCCCTGCCACCAACATGCAAAACCTGGCCTGGGTTCCAGATTTCAGCTTTGGCGTCAGCAAGTGGCCATTGCAGACATCTGGGGAAGTGAACCAGCAGATAGGAACTTAATTATTTGTCTCTGCCTCTCAAATAAATAAACAAAAATGTTCACACACACAATTCATGCAGAAATATTCACAGCAGAATTATTCATAAGTCAAAAGTGAAAAGAACTCAAATGTCCCTTTGCTAATGAATGAATGAATAATTGTGGTATATCCCTTCAGTGGAATGTTAACAAGCATGAGAAGGATGAAAGTATTGTCCCCTGCTAAACACGGGTAGACTTTGCAAACATCTTTAAATGAAGTAAGCCAGTCACACATTATATTATTCTATTTACATAAAATATCTAGAATAGACAAATCCATTCAGACAGATTAGAGGTTGGAGAAGAAGATATAATGGAATTAAGATGAACTGCTAGTATGTATGTTTTCTTTTAAGGTGTTGGAAACATTTGGTAATATATGGTGCTGCTTGCAAAACATTGTAAATATACTAGAAGTCATTGAATTATGTCCTGGAAAACAGTAAATTTTGGGGCCGGTGCTGTGGCATTACTAGGTAAAGCTGCTGCCTGTGGTGCTGACATCCCATATGGGCACCAGTTCAAGTCCCTGCTGCTCTGCTTCTGATCCAGCACCCTGTTAATATGCAGAAGATGGCCCAAGTTCTTGGGCCTCTACACCCACCTGGGAGACTTGGAAGTAGCTCCTGGCTTCAGATTGGCCCAGCTCCAGATGGCATTGCTATTTGGGGAGTGAAACAGCAGATGGAAGTGTTCACTTGTGCTCTCTCCACCCCCCCCACCCTTCCCTCCTCTCCGTCTCCTTCTCCTCCCCCCTCTCTCCCTTTCTCTCTGCCTCTTGGTAACTGCCTTTCAAATACATAAATAAATCTTTAAAAAAACAGTAAATTTTGTTAATTATATCTTAGATTAAGTTATAGTTAACATACTGTTAGTGAATTAAAAGGCATGAAATCCATAGTATCAAGCATCAATGTCTATTAAAGACAGATTGTGTAAGGGAGTGGGATAGTGGAATATATTGAGGTCTAGAAACAGAATTAATCAATTGCAGGCGCTTAATTTACAAGCAAAGTAGTTTGCAGAGTAATGAGGGAAGTCTGGTACTGTCAGTGCATTTTGCTGGGTCAATTGGAAAAATAATGAAACTACCCAAACTCAAAGCATTTAAAATAGCAATTTCACATAGGTCTTTGAATTAGGTGTAAGAAACAAACAAAAAACCAAAAATGATTATGGAAAAAATAAATATTACTTTAGATTGTCTTGCTCTTTTTTTTAAGATTTATATATTTATTTGAAAGGCAGAGTTGCACAGAGAAGGAGAGGCAAAGAGAAAGAGTGAGAGAGGTTTTCCATCCACTGGTTTACTCACCAAGTGGCCACAATGGCCGGAGCTGTGCTGATCCAAAGCCAGGAGCTTCTTCAGGGTCTCCCATGGGGGTGCAAGGGCCCAAGGACTTGGGCCATCCTCCACTGCTTTCCCAGGCCATAATAAAGAGCTGGATTGGAAGTGGAGTAGCCAGCACTTGCACCGGCACCCATATGGGATGCTGGTGCTGCAGGTGGCAGCTTTACCTAGTACACCACAGCACCTGACGCTGTCTTGCTTTTTACATAAAAAATAGATGATTAAGTTTTATTATTCAGGGGCCAGTGTTGTGGCACAGTGGTGAAGCCAATGCCAGAGTCCCATATGAGCATCATTTTAAGGCCTGACTGCTGTACTTCTGATCCCTGCTAATGTGCCTGGGAAAGCAGTGGATGATGGCCCACGTGCTTGTTTCCCTGCCACCCATGTGGGAGATCAGGATGAAGCTCTTGGCTCAGCCCCAGCTGTTGCCTGTGGTGTCAGCGTCCCATATGGGCACCCGTTTAAGTCCCAGCTACTCCACTTCTGATCCAGCTCCCTGATAATGAGCCTGCATATGCAAATCCACATAGACACGTTAGAGGTTGGAGAAGAAGATATAATGGAATTAAGATGAACTGCTATTATGTATGTTTTCTTTTAAGGTGTTGGAAATATTTTGTAATTCATGATGCTGCTTGCACAACATTATAAATAACATGGAAAACCCAAATCAAATTCTTGGCCTTGTCTTGGTCATTGTGGCCCTCTGTAGAGGGAACCAGCAGATGGAAGATCTGTGTTTTCCTTTCTCTCTTCCAAACAAATAAGTAAATAAAAAATTTTTAGGTAAAGAGAAGTCAACCCATTGAAAATTAGCAAAAAAAATTGCAGAATACATTTTCAAATGAAAATAAATGACTAATAAATACATAGGAGTTCACTAAAACTCATTAGTAATCCAATACATATGAAAGAGCAGTCAAACTGAGGGCTAAAATTAAGCAAAATGAAAACACTTCCCAGTACAACAGTAGCAACTATCATACTCTATATTATTTGCTAACGTAGAGTGTATACAGCTTTCCTGACCTAGAAAACTTACTCCTAGGCAATGTGCAACAGAATTACACACACACATATAAAAGGATGCTCACTGCAGGATAACCCATAATACCAATATCTGGTAATGCTCCACCTATGCACCAATAGTATATTGGATACCTAATTTGTGGAATATTTGCCATATGGAATACTACATAGAGATGAAAATTGTTTCAAGCAACAAGATACATGAACCTTGCACAAATTATGTCAAGTGAAAAAATTGGACATTGAAGAATATATTGTATATGATTCGGTTATATAGAATTTAAAAGTAAGGTGAAATTTAAAAGGCTGACCTAAAAATGTGGAACTTTGACAAATATATAATTTTAATTAAAATTACAATACAAAAAATCTTTCATGGCATAGTCCAGATGACATGTAAAATTGCAATGAATGTGTGATAATAATACAGCATTAATGTGACAAATCCATTATCATACATCTATTTACACTGATAGAACAAGCCATGAGCTTCTAAGTGCTGGTCATATTCTATTTCTGAGTGTTGGCATCACAAAGTGTTCAGTTTATGATGATTTTTAAAAGGAAGATTTTAAAAATTATCTCAGTGACAGGCTGAGAAAGAACAAGATTCCATTTGCTGATTCATTGCCTGCACAGCCAGTGCTATTCCAAGTTGAAGCCCAGAAGCTGAAAATCTATCTAGGTCTACCCTGCAGATGGCAAGGACCCAAGTACTGGAGCCATTACTTGCTACCTCCCAGGGTGTGTGTTATTAGGAAGCTGGAATCAGGAGTAGAGTGATGCTTGAACCAGCCACTTCCATATGGGATAGAAGTGTCTGATGCAGTGGCTCAACTTCCATGCCAAACACTGTCCCCTGTGATGTCGTAAGGTGTTCATATACTTGCACTTTTGTAAACTTCTTTGAAGATTTATAACTCACAGTGAAAAATAACTTAAAATATGAAAACAAAAGAAAATGTATCACAATACTCGGTGGCTCTCATGAACAGAAGTCAGATCCAGGGCCAGAGACTTTTGGGGGAGTTTCCAACTTAGAAATGTCAGAGGATTATTACATAATACTACAAGATCCATTAGTTCATCTTTATAAATTAACTGTTTGGTTTCTCCAATGACTTTAGGCCCAGAGAAGAATTTTAATATCTGTATTTAGGGTGATTCATTACCAATTATTAGTGTAGCATTTTGGAGATGGAAGTAACCTTATTTAGTTTTCTGAAATAAGATGCAGACACATAGTCATATGTACAATAAAATGATACACAATAATGTCAACTGCTTTTCTTACTGATTGTGTTCTTCAGAAACCTATGTATTTTAATACTCATACAATATGTGACTTCAAACTTAATTCCCAAGGCAAAAGGAAAAGGCTACCATCTAATGGGTAAAACATAATCTCCTCTGTTTTATGATAGTAATGGTTGGAAGTTCAATATTTCTGCTCAAACACAGAGGCAGGCGGGTATATTTACAAAAGGCCTCACACTGTTTGCCATTGCCTTTACAGAAGGTAACATTTATAAAACCTTCCCATCCCGTGGCAGGTGCTGGGTCTTCTCTTGAGAATTTGTGCCATTCAGATATTGCCTTTCATTTGAACTTCAAACACCTTTAAAAAATAGAAGCTTCTCTTTAATATCATTGGGAAATTAAAAACCTTTTATTTTTATCATTGTAATATCTTCCTTGGACTTACTTTTCAAAAATAAATCAAAGCCGGAACTAATTAATCTGTGATAGCCAGCAAAAGCCTAAAAGCAGGAAGAGAATTTAAAAAACAAAGCTTTGTTCTGCTTTTTTTTTTTAATTCACCATAGGTAAATTAAAGTTATATACTAAATAGGGTATTGAATACACTTAATAATGTTCTCCCTTCCTTAGAAAACTGAATCAACTAATTGAATAACTGAAAAATATTTTTTAGAGCTGTACTTCATTTTCTTTCTTTGTTCATTGCAATGACACAAGATAAGGTTAAAAAAACTCAATTTAAGTGGAAAATAGATTTTCATATAAGAAAATTATCTGGAATTATTTCATTACTCTATAATAATTGTAACTAATAATGTTGGAATTATACCACTTTTTCTACTTTTTTGAACAGAAAACTAAAAATGAAAACATCTTTTTTTCTTTGTTTTGTTGTTTTTCAGGCGTGGACTCCTAGACCATCTGGTGACTTCAAAGACCTGGTGAGACTTTTTTTTTTCCTATGGTACTTTGATATTTTTATTTGTTTTGCCACTAATCTTTGAAGGTTATGGTTCTTATTATTTTGACTCTACTTCTTTTTCTTAATTCTCCCTTCATTTCTACCTCCAGAGGCTGAATCTCCTAGGACCTGATGCATTCAGTCAATGATACCATAACCCACATCAGATGAACTGATAAATTCAGATTTTTTTTCTTAGAGATTCAACTTGATAGGTCATGACAGCATTGTAGATGGGGGCAGCATTTGTTGCTTAAAACAAAGCAAACCACTGAAAAAGTCTATGACAGGATAGATGAGATGCAAAAGGCTATTGATTTGAAAAAAAAAAAATTGTTTAAAACAGATAAAATGCAATACACGAAAAGAGGACCCGAAGAGCTGATAGGACAACTGAATTTTTAGAAGTTTTTCAACAGTACAATGTTGATTTTACAGTTTCCATATCGTAAAGCTAGAAATACACTTGAATATACTACCTTTTTCTGTGTGGAAACAAAATTCTTACAACATTTGCTTGACACATGTATTATAGGTGTGGTAAAGATGCTTTTTTGATGAAAAAGATAACTGGTTGAGATAGAAGATTTTCTTTTATGTTGTATATTTTCCCATAGAGCAGCTTTATGTTCCTGTTTGATTCCCCCTAGTTCTATTATTCTCCAAACGTTGAAGAAATACTGTTCATATTCAAATTTATACATTGGAATCCTATAGTGTTCTCAACATATACACAATAGTGAAGCATTTTATCTCATATCTTACTAAAGAAATCACTAGCTTAGATTCATGTGTGTCTGGAAGTCCAAACTTTCCTTATTTCTGGGGTGAATTTGTAATTGTAAACCAAGTGTATTAAGAAATTCTAACCACTAATCTAAGTGAAATAAGTCAGGTCCAGGAAGACAAATATCACATGTTTTCTTTTATTTGTTGAAATTTAAAATATATGACTATAAAGATGGTGAAGAAGCTCTGTCATCAACAGTTATAAATAGTGCTTCACTGAATCTTACCATGTATGTGACAATATCCCTTTATTTCCCATGTTATTATTATGATCATGATTCCTTTTTGTGATATTGAGAGCTGTGATTTTGAGAAAGTATATATACACAAATTTTAACATCAAAATAATTTAAATAATTCCAACTTGATAGACTGCAGGATTATAATCTTAACACCATTCTTCAGTAATCAGTAGGCATTGTACAGTGAGGGAGACATAAAGGTTAGAAATTTCCTTCTTGTTGTCTCTTATGTCTCATTCCCAAATGGTTTTCATGGTTTTTCAATGAGTGTCTTATGATGATCTTATCATGCCTTTTCCATGCTGCTTTCACCACTATATTCACCAGCAAACAGTGACACAATTGATATTAGACTGTATGTGTAATAAATGTTAGTAAAGGCTTGAGGTTACATGAGTAGACTTATAGCATTTGAAAGGAAAACTCAAATTTGTATATCATATCTTCTTACATTCAAAAGCTACAGGACCATGTCTCTCCACAAAGCATTTTTCTTGGTTCCTATATTCACCAATTTATAACAGTATACCTTATTTTGGGGTCTGCATCCCTCCTAAAAGATTCTATTTGTCCGTGTTTCTCTCTATCTTATTCCCTACATTTGTGCCCTATGATAATGAGTAAAGAATAAGCTACCATTAGATGCTGTGCAGTGATGACAAGCTTCTCATTGTGCAGAATAGTTAAGCACTTCCTTGTGCAGAAACTTGCTAGAAGTAAGATTCTACACTACCTTTGGATAGGGTTACATAGAAATTTCTTCCAAATAACTTATGATGAATCTAGTGCTCTGTATTTAGTTGTAGATAGTAGCAACAAAAACTTGAAATTACATTTTTCCTTAATGGTTTTTGGAATTAATGACCCAATCTCCAATTGATATGTACCCATTAGATGAAGAGTTGGCCTCTCATTTATCTCATCAGTTTCAATCAGTGGAAATCTGTGATTAAGGCATTTATTGGGGGAGGTAGAATCCTATAATAGGCAGCGATTTTGTATCCTCATTTCCATCATATCCAGTCCTAGAGTTACTCAATATTTTCTTATCCTAAACTCATTCTGAGTTGCATGAGTTAGAACCAGAATTTCCTTAGTATCCTTTCTTCTAAATTCTACCTTTATTTGTTTAAATTGTCAGAATGCCCTTCCGCTTCTGGGTCTCTACAGTGATCATCTGAGTTTTACTCCACTTTCTAATTTGTCTCTTTATACTCTGCATTTAATAAACTTGACATGATTGATTCTGAAACACTTATGTTCATATTTATTTGTCCTACCATATTCCCGTAAGCTTCCCCTTGTCTAATCTGTTACAGAAGGGATCTTCATACAGTTTATTGGAAATATAATTGAATGTTTTAGTTTATTTTCATGCAACCATTTTTTTTCATAAAACATGAAAAATGTGTTTCGTCCACATCTGTCAATATATCTATTACCTATTGATTCCTTCAGGCCAAAGTGAAGTCTCACTTCCTCTGGAAAACCATTATGTTAAATATTGTAACACTTTTCCTTCTCCCTGAACTCTTGGTTCTCAGGGCCAGAAAGTCAGCATTTTACCTTAATCTACCATGTTCTAAGGTTCCTGTGTTGTGTGCATGTTCTCTCCTTCACTGTTGTGCAAACTTGTCAAATCAAGTAACAATGCCATTTTGTTTAGTGCATAATATATAATATATTGCTTCATTTTTAGTAGTTGCTTAATATTTTCAATTGGCTAACTCAGTTCATTTCATTTAAAAATTTAATACTCAAGTATTTTTTTTTAAGACACATTCTGTTTATTCAAAAGGCAGAGTTATGGGGTAGGGGAGCAAGGGAGATACAGCAAGAGAGATCTTCCATCCAATGGTTCACTCCCCAAATGGCTGCAATGAACAGGGCAGGGCCAGTCCAAAGCCAGGAATGCTTCTTCTGGATCTCAAACATGGGTGCAGGGGCCCAAGAACCCGAGCCATCTTCCACTTCTTTCCCAGGCACATTAGCAGGGAGTTAGATTGGAAGTAGAGCAGCAGGGACTTGAACTGTTGTCCATATCGGATGCCAACATTGGAGGAAGCTTAACCCTTTATGCCACCATGCCAGCCACTCAAAATTTCATTTTGTAATGGTTGCTTTTCCTCAGTTAAGACTTTCAAAGAAAACAATGACATGAATATGAAGCATAGTTAATAGTATTATCTGAAAAAGAATCCTGAATAATTAATTATGCACACTCTGAAGAACTATAGTTTAAAGTGTAATTCTAAAGAAGTATAAAATTCAGTAGAACAGACAAAAAAAACTACTAAGAGGGGTTTAATTCTGTAATTAATACACAGTTATTCTTAAGTGTTGAAAATTAACTGAAATGTGATCCCTGTTAAACATAAGAGTAGGAATAAGAGAGGGAAGAGATGTACAATTTGGGACATGCTCAAGCTGACTTGCCCCAAATGGTAGAGTTAGAAACATACCAGGGGACTCCAATTTAATCCCATCAAGGTGGCATGTAACAATGCCATCTCACTAGTCCAAGTGATCAATTTCAGTTCACAATTGATCATAATGAAAGGACTAAGAGTCAAATGGAGCACATAAACAAGTCTAGTACCTGCTAATACTAACCGATAGAATAAATAAAGGGGAGAGTGATCCAACATGGGAAGTGAGATACTCAGCAGACTCATAGAATGGTGGATGTCCTAAACAGCACTCTGGCCTCAGAATCAGCCCTAAAGGCATTCCAATCTGGCTGAAAAGCCCATGAGAGTATTTCAGGTATGGAAAGCCAAGACACTCTGGCAAAAACAAAACAAAACAAAACAAAACCCTAAATGAAAGATATCTGTGAGTGAGATCCCAGTGGAAAGAACAGGTCTTCAAAAAAGGAGGTACCTTTCTCTGAAGGGAGGAGAGAACCTCCACTTTGACTATGACCTTGTCTAAACAAGATAAGAGTCGGAGAACTCAAGAGGCTTCCATAGCCTTGGAAACTCATGACTGGTGCATAGGGAGATTACTGATGCCATAGACAGCAGTGTCAATTTGTAAAGTCAACAACAGGAGTCACTGTGCACTTACTCCTCATGTAGGATCTCTGTCCTTAATGTGCTGTACATTGAGACTTAATGCTATAACGAGTACTCAAACAGTATATTTCACTTTGTGTTTCTATGGGGGTGCAAACTGTTGAAATCGCAAACTGTTGAATCTTACTTAATGTATACTAACTGATCTCTGTAAGAGCAAACAAAAAAGAGAGAGAGAAATTATCAATTCCCAACTTGACTCTCACTGGGATTAAACATGACAATAGGTCTGATCTGATTTCATCATCATTTAAAAAATCATCTATTATTTTTCACTTTATGTTTCTGTGTGGGAGCAAACTGTTGAAATCTTTACTTAATGTATGCTAAACTGATCTTCTGTATATAAAGAGAATCGAAAATGAATCCTCATGTGAATGGAAGGGGAGAGGGAGTGGAAAAGGGGAAGGATGCGGGTGGGAGGGACGTTATGGGGGGGAAGCCATTGTAATCCATAAGCCGTACTTTGGAAATTTATATTCATTAAATAAAAGTTAAAACAAACAAACAAACAAAAAAAGAAGCATAAAATTCAAATCAAAGTAGTACTGAAACATAAATAACTTACTAATATTACAAATTAAATACATAATAATACACTATATTCAGTTGTCCTATAGCTCTCAAGGTAAAACAATAGTAGAGAACTAACATTGATCACATAAGAGTTGAAATTTTTACAGAAAACCTTATTGTAGCGTTTTTTCACTTATGTAAGGTAATGTATTTAGTGCTTACGATTCACTGAATTTTGAGTCTGTGTAATTGTGGCAATTTGTTCCAATTCATAAATTTTATTTTCTGCACCTGGAGTTTGGACCTTTTAAGAGGTCAGCATAATAACACATGCACAATGATGCACAGTCAAAATT